CACTCACCCTTGAGGTAAGGAAAGGGAGGCTTGGAGAAATTTTACCATCTCTGTGATTCTGGTGCACAGTCAAGACCTGAAGGCCATAGCACTCAGAAAACAGGAGCTTGATGACCTGGGATCTCCTTTGTCTGTCCAGGTAGAGATGGAGGAGTGAAGGTCATTTTTCTGACTTCCAAATAGGAGGCAAAGATGACCCCAATCCTCCTGTTGTCCCAAAATAGAGGGGCCATTCTCACAAACAGTGCCATCATTAGGAAATGAGAACGTTTCCACTCCACACAGGCCATAGGAAGAGATTGACAGTGGGGCCTTGGATCAACCCACCCACCTCTAAGAACCTTCATCCATGAAGCATCAAGCCATCTTCAATAATAGCTTCTAGAAGGTTCCACATAGCCAGCCATACTGGGGTAGCATCATCGACAGCTCTGTACACATTATGCTTTGGCCAACAGGGATCATCCTCAGGGAGACTCCAAGCAGTAGACTTCCGTTGTCCCCAGACTGATGGTAAGGCTCTCTGTAGAGTCGTGTGGTGTTACTGGCTGTTCCTTTATTTAGAATCCCTTTAAAAGTTTTGTCAGGTTTTACGTGGAAAATTTCACCCTGTATGTTGGTGCCATTTTGTTGCTGGAGTTTCTTGTCCCACCACCGTTTAAGCCCCAAATAAACACACGGATGCTATATTAGTTATAAAATTGTTGGCCAGTGGCTAGGGCTTTGCATTGGCTAGCTCTGTCTTAATTATTAACCCATGACTACTAATCTATGTATTTCTATATGGCCTTATCCTACCAGAGAACACCTGGTGCATCCTCTCCTCCCCGTCTCTACCTGGGGGTCTCCTTTGCAGAACCTCTCTGCCTCTCTTCCCAGCATTCTCCTCATCTCCTCGCCCCGCCTATCTCCCTGACTCTATTGGTCAAACAGCGTTTTATTCATCAACCAATAAGAGATACATTTATACAGAAGGGCCTCCCCCATCAGTGTGGTGCAGTGTTTTGATGGCAGAATAGGTTTGCCATGAAAATAGACAATTGTGAACAAAGGGAGACGAGGAAGGACCATACTCAGGAGTCAAGACAACAGCTAGCTCACATGCCCCAAGTCATGGGGTTTCCTGGGGCTCCCTGTAATTTGCCAGGCTCCAGAGCTTAGGGACTGCCGCCTACCATTGTCTGATACCTGCCCTGGGGCTGAGAGACCAGAGCTGTAACATAATAAGCTGGAGTGGGGAGTTAATCAGGCACTTAATAAAGAGAACTGGGCAAACTCTAGCCTGAGCCTCAAAACTGGGCCAACACAGTTTTTTAAAAAATAAAACAGAGTATAACCACAGTGTGGCCTTCCTGTAACTGGAATGCCAAAGCAACTCATGCCACCTGTCACTGAGAGTCAGCCAATAAGTGGAGACACAGATAGAATCTTTAAATCATGCTTTACCCAGAGAGAAAGTAAAGAAAGTGGGTTGATGTCCTTCGGTTTTCCACTTCATCTTTAGCCAGACACAGGGAGTGGACCCATAGGCCATCATCCCAGTTTAGTCTTGCCCCTCGAGGTGCAAGTCTTGTCAGTGGTCAGTCTTGTCTGGGAGAATGTGACTTGGGTGTTTTTCTCTTTATCATCTCCTCTCCAATTGGTGGGAGTTTCTGAATGCACCAGGATGGGTGGATCTCACTTCCTTCCAGATGGCCATTTAGGTTGCATCGAGATTAAAGGTTAAGTCAGATCAAGCAAACCATTGATGTATTCCTGGGCTGCTTGCACTGTGTAATACAAAGTATGGGTGGGGTTGCTCCTATAGGATGAACTCTAAAAGTGGCCCCACCTTCCCCCCATCACTACTAGCTAACCTTGCATGCCCATCCAGATCTACCTCCTGGCTCCCAGTGTGGGAAAAAACGTCAGAGTTCAGGCTCCACGGGAAAGGGTGCTCTCATTGCGTGGTGGTGTGCACAGGGTGTGAACAGAGAAGATCCCACCAGCTTTGGGGTCACGTGTAGAAAGCTGTTGTCTTGGCTGTGAGTGAAAGAGACACCAACATTAGCTGTGTCTGCCAGAAGAACAGGCGGTGTGACTGATACTGCGGGAAGCCACTCCCCTGCCTCACTGCTACATCCTGCTTATTTCCATCATAGACTTTAAGACAGTCTGTGACCATTTATATTGTTATTAGATGGCTTGTTCTCTGTTTACAACTGTTGACAACCCATCTTTTGCATGGGGATATAAGTGCTAAGCAAGGGTTTTATTCTGCAATGGAGTCTAGTGAAATAACTCTTCCAGAATCTACCTTCTGTGGATATTTGTTGAATGAGGAAGTGAATGGATTTTTTTTAAAGCAAGGAATAAATGGATCAATGTGGCATTCTTCACTTACCAAGCACATTATCGGTCCTGGTCAAGATCTTTTGTTGGGAAAGACAAAATCCTCACCACACCGTCAGGGGTATACATGCCGTCTCACATAAAATTATAGCTGCTATTCCAGTGTGTGCCTTTTGCTGGTGGGTAGTTTAGTTAGCACAGGGTGGGTGCTCTAGGACTGTCTATTTCTGAAAACCTCAAAGAGTTCATCTCTAGCTGGGCTCTGATACCAAAATTTAATGCAAGCATCCTCCTCTGTTATCCTTAGGAAATGTGCCTCTCTAGTCTCCTGCTCCATCCCCTGCTTACAGCCTCTATCAAGCCATCAGCAAAGCCTTTGCATTTGGTACTGATGTGCCGTCTCTTAGGTTACAGGGTTAAATAAAATCTGCTAGGGCTTAGGAGATTTTTCTACAATGACTTTCATCCACGGTGCTTAATTAAATCCCTCACCTGGGAAAGAGCGATTTTCTTCAGCCATCTCTCTTTCAGTGGCATCAGCAGGCAGCTGTGACTGTTGAGATGGCAAAATGTCAGTTGTATTTACTGCTGCAGGGCTACAGTAACAGAGTGGGCAGAAACTGTGACTTTTGCCTGCATTCTTAATCTTTTAATGATCCTTCCGTTTCATGAGAGATTCTAAGTCCTGAAGCATTCACATGAATTGTAGAAAATTAGTAAGTTTTGTGAAAGGAAAACATAGCTGTTCCAACAGAGGCAGAGGTCATAGGTCAATGGGCTTCAGAAGAAGAAAAGGGCTGGGGAGGTGGTTCGGTGTCTAAGCACTGAGAGGGGTGAAGACCTGGGTTCGAATCCCCCAGCACTTATGTAAAACCCAGGCGTGGTATAGCATGTCTGTAACCCAAGTCCTCCTAGGACAAGATGAAAGGTGGAAAGGAGAGAATATCTATGGGACTCCTGAAGGCTTCGGATATGCAGCCTGGGAAACAACAAAAGACTCTGCCTCCAGTAAGCCTCCAATAAGGTGGGACCAATGCCCAAGGCTGCCCTCTGATTCCAATGCACTTGCCCGTTGCTTCACCATGGCCCCGTGGAGTTCCATAAAAGCCCTCCACATGCCTGAGCCTTCCAAAGACAGAGATCCGTGGCAGGGGTCTTCTCTCTTTCTCTCTAAGCTGCCCTTGAATAAATCTAATGCCTTCCACTGATCTCCATCTCCAGAGTTTCCCATGGAGCAGCAGGGAGTGACACTTAGGTATCAGTAACACTGTAGGTCTCTAGGAATCTCAGGTTGAAACAGATAACTGAGACTTGGCACTGACAGCAAAAGAGGCTGAGTCAGAATAGCAAAATGGACACAGAAATCTGCTCTGCTCTTGTCCCAGCACCTAAGAGTATCAAAAATGAGTTTCCTAAAGAGTGCTTCTGCTAACATACAACTAAGAAGAAAGACTGCCAGGAGAGGAGGAAATTCTTGGCAGGGAGCAGCAAACCCAGGCAGGGTGAAAAGGTGACCAAAGGCCGAAGAACGGCAGGCCATCATGGCACAGCCTCGCATCCTGGCATCAAGAGGCTAAAGCTGGGGGATTGCAGCAAGTTCAAGACAAGCCTGGGCTACAAAGCAAGTCCCAGGCCAGCCTGGGCAACAATGTAATATCAGGTCGTAGAAAGTAAAGATTTGTACTCAGAAAAAAATATAAGTCCCTAGGTATAGGAGTAAATTCAAAACTGAGCAAAATCCCTGGTGCTGACTGAAGCTGGCTCTGCAGTGCGAAGTCCCATTAGCAGCTCTAAGCTCCTCCCTCCCCGGGGTCTGTGCTCCTTAGCTTAAGACACTGCAGTACCTCTCACAGGTGTGGGGCCTACTACTCCATCTCTTGTGTCTGGAGTGGCCTTGAGATGGCATTGGTCAATGAAGAGACAAACATGAAAATATAGCCTTTCCTCATCCTTAGAAACATATTAAGTGTGAGACCAGCCTGGTCAACATACATGAAACCTTGCCACACCAACGCCCTGTGTGTTCCTTTTTAAAACTTATTTTTATTTCATGTGCATTGTGTTTTGCCTGCACATATGTCTGTGTGAGGGTGTTGGGTGCTCTGGACCTGAGTCATAGACAGTTGTAAGCTGCCATATGGGTGCTGGAAATTGAACCCAGAAGAGCAGCCTGTGTTCCTAATCACTGAACCATCTCTCCAATCCTGCCTGTGTGTTTTTAATCCAATCAAGGTGACTGAATAACCACCACGAATAAAGATAATAATAAAGACTATGGCTGGCTTTAGATGTAAGTTCTAGACAACAATATAAAGGCAAAATGCAGCCATATCTACACAGAGATGCATGGGGAAATCTGGTAGGACATAGAGAAGATGCAACACTCAGGAAAATATACCTTGATACTTATTGAATCTGGGTGTTTTTGAAATGTAAACACGATTTTCGTGTACTAAAAGAAAAGATAATCACCGTTTTTTTTTTAAAAAGGCACAGAAATTGTATTGGCTTTCCATTTTCTTGGGAGGGAAGAGCCAGTGAAATTGTTTTTATTTTATTTCTATTTATGTTAGGATTGTTTGAGTGAATGAAAAACTATCTCGAATTAAAGTCTATTTTGCCTTCCTCGTTTTACTTCACCACCCAACTCATCCATTCTTCATTTTTAGGCCAGGAGACATGATTACTCTTCTAGAAGACTCCAATGAAGACTGGTGGAAAGTAGGTATTTCGGTCTTTAAAAAGAAATAAGAATCCTGTGGTGATGACAGTAACAATAAACGTTATATTTGCCGCTGAATGCCTCCTCTTCCATTTCAGGGAAAGATTCGGGACAGGGTTGGTTTCTTTCCAGCCAACTTTGTTCAGAGAGTAGAACAGCATGAGAAGATTTATAGGTGTGTTAGAACCTTCATTGGCTGCAAGGACCAGGGACAGATAACACTGAAAGAGAACCAGGTAAGCAAAGTACATGAATGCCACCATGCACATGCAAGCTGGGACAAATGGGGGAACCAAGTGTGGCATTTGAGGAAAGATGACCTTGCACCAATGCTGTGGGGGTAGGTAGAATCCAACATGCAAAACCAAAGGGCAGGAAACTTGCTGTTTAAATTCATTTTTAGCATTGTGATAGAATACCACAACTAAAAGTAATTTAGGGAGGAGAGGATTTATTTTAGCTTAGATTTTTCAGAAAGTTTGAGTCCATAATGGCTGGGCAACAGGCAGAGAAAGCAACAGGGCCAAGAAGCTGGCTGATCACATTTCTTTCAAACATAGGAAGCAGAGAGGGGGGGGAGGGAGAGAAGGAGAGAGAGAGAACAGGAAATGGGAATAAATTATAAAACATCAAAGCCCGCCCCTAGTGAAGTACTTCCTCCAGCAAGGCTCCACCTCCTAAAAGTTCCATAACTTCCCCCCAAACAGAGCCAGGAACAGGAGACAAGTGTTCAAATCCATGAGCTTGCAGGGGATAGTTCTCATTCAAACCACAGATACCTAGTAATATGTGTCAGAAAAGAAGCATATATAATGTCACAGAGTCATAAGAGAGCGTCTCATCCCTGAACTTGGGTCTGAGGGCCACAAGTCACTGATGTTAGCAGCTACTCCACTTTTCACACTGGGCTTGTGCCCACCAATGTATCATCACCTAATGGGAGAATTTTGTCATTGTGTGCCTCCATGCTCCAGGGCTTGGTGTGCTGGCTCTAATCACACAGAGCAGCCTCAGATGACCTTATCAAGCTTCTATGTGTCCCCTAAAGGCCATACACCTTCCCATATAGGATAAGACAGAGACAAAGCAAAGACTGAAAACCATCTTGGGCAGAGACTTTGGCCATCTCCCTGCTCTCATTGACAAGTCCCTGTACCTTTATGCTCCAGGCTGGGTTAAATGACCTGCTCTGTGAGGTTGTCTGTTTTCTCGAGTCCTCTCCAGCTATAATATCCTTCGGCTACTTCCTTCCTTCTGGGTTCCTTAGCTCTGCTCTAGAATGCAGATCAAAACAAAGAGGAATCGCAGCTCAACACTGTCCTGTTCTTCTGGGTGTCTCCTTCCAGCACAGAGGTCCTTCAGCCCTACTTATTTCTTTTCATGCACATACCTCGTCTTCACTACAGGCAAAATGACGTGCTCGAGTCTCCAAGATTGCTCTGGAGAAGTTAGGAGAGGATGTGGGGGACCAAAGTCAGAAATTTCCTGTCTTTCTCCATGAAGTCTCACAGTTGATTGCAATTTTCAGTCTGGGAAGTCAGAAATTGGCCTCTTTCTACATTCGTGATATATAGTAATTCTAGCAATTCTCAAGGCAATGGGTATCTCTACTTGAAAATGTGGAAATTACAAGGCTCAGGCTTCAAGAAAGTAAAGAATGACACATGCATTCACAATTTAATACTTGTCTGTTCAATACAGTTGCCCCAAACATATCATGGATGTCATTTATTTAATTTTATTTTTCTATTTTATGTGTGGAGACTGTGCCTGCATAGATGTCTGCATGAATGCCAGGTGCTGTGAAGACCACATGAGGCATTGGCTCCCCTGTGATCTGGAGTTATAGAAAGTTGTGAGTCAACATGTGGGTGCTGGGGATCAAACCTGGGTCCTCTGGGAGAACAGCCAGAGCTCTTAATCACTGAGCCATTTCCTCATTTCCTCCCTCATTTGGGGAAATTACCTTCAATGATAGTTACTAAGTCTCTCTCTCTCTCTCTCTCTCTCTCTCTCTCTCTCTCTCTCTCTCTCTCACACACACACACACACACACACACACACACACACACACACACGTGCATGATCTAGATGTTCTAAGACAGTGTTTTAACTCAACTTTCCATCAACCATTTTCTTTTCCATATGTGACTCCAAATAACTTATCAAATGGACAAATGCTTCCTCACACTGGACATGTAGTTTACACCACTCAGTTCCAGCATTCAGGAAACACAGGCAAGAAAATCTCAAGGTCAGCATAGTGAATCAAATCCAGGCTGAACTACACAGCAACCAAGAACCTGTCTGTGTCAAAGTAGCAAAGGCTTGGGATACAGCTCAGTGACAGATCACAAGGCCTTGGGCTTGCCTTCTGATGGAGCCCTGAGAATTCAGTGTGGCCACCTGTATAGAGACAGCACGGTGCCTGGGTACCATGGGTGTGTAACAAAAATCACTTCCCACCATCATAACTCAGAGCAGGTCTCAATGGGGACTTCATCTGCACTGGTAAACACCAGTGTAAGGAACCCCATGAGCCCCCAAAAATAGCCTGTGTGATATTTATAACTCTAAAAACAAAAAGAGACAAGTGGCCACTAACAGAGGGATAGGAGAAAATTGATTCTGAAAATAAGTGCAATGCTTTTTTATTAAATCACATTTCTGTTTCTGAGGTTAATCTTTCATAATTATTACATTGTTTATCCACAGAGCACTTGTTTCCAGATGGAATTAAGTTATCCATCATGAACACGTAGGAGTCTGCCTTGACAGGATAAATTTTCTTCATTTTTTAAACTTAAAAAGAATCCTACTTAATCAGCTTTACATTACTTTAAAACAGTTTTATAATCTCATGCATGGTTCTGTCATAGCTGTAGAAATGTTTTCATGGATTCCTTGTGTTCTTACAAAAAAATTAAACCAGAAATTATTTTTAGATTATAAAACTGAAATTTGTTTGTTATATGGAAATTTTGAAAATAGTATTTTTAAAAATAGAAGAAAATAACAACCACAGCAATTCAACCATTAAGTTTTTGTTAGCATTGAAATCTTTGACATATTTCATGCCAGGCTTTCCTTTGAATGCATAGTTTAATATCATACTTTATTTAGTCTAATGCTACTTAGTTTCATCAAAATATAGTTTTTAACAGTTGTATATACATCAGAGTGGCAAACTTAGGCACATTGGACAAATCTGGCAATTTATGTTTTTTATTATATGATAAGGTTTAGGATTTTACTTTTATTTTTTATACGTGTGTTGGTATGTGCATGAGCATAAAGCTCATGGAAGTCAGAAACTCTGGCTCTGATCCCTTGGAGCTAGAGTTACAGGCATTTGTGTTGGCTGGTAATGGGGTGTAGGACCCAAAAGCAGTCTGAGTTATTAAGCACTGAGTCATCTCAGTCCTAATTGTGTTGTTTAAATAACTTTTTTAGAATGTCTACACTGGAGCTGGGCACAGAATGTCTGCCTAATATTCTCCATGTTCTGTCTTAGCCACACACACACACACACACACACACACACACACACACACACATATGTCTATAAGAAATTATTACATGTGTATTTATATACATGTATGTATGTAGATTTCTCTATCTTTTCTAACCCTATAATGGTTGGGTTAAGCCACTGCAACAGGTATGGTATGGCCTGCAAGCCTAAAATGTTTACATACCTTTTACAGAACAAGTTTGTTAACTCCAGTCTGGATACACAAAAATGTATTTAAATATCAGCTGTTCCTGGATATTCAAGAATTTTTTTTATTTTAACTACTATTGATAACTACAATGAACAACATTAAACTTAAATCTTTCTCTCTAATTCTGATTATTTCCTCAAGTCAGACTTTAGAATTTATAGGAACATGGAATGAAATTTTTGTACATTTATTGATTTGTGTGCATACATATGTGTATATGCATGTGGTGTGTGCATGTATGCATGCCACAACATGGATGTGGAGGTCAGAGAATAATCTGGGGAAGCTGATTCTCTCCTTCTATCATGTGTGTCTCTAGGATCACACTCAGGTTGTGAGGTTTGGCAGCAAGTGCTGTGACCAGCCCCACTTAAAAGACATTTACAGTGATTGATATATGCCAAACTGACTCCACAAAGCTTGTCCCAATCTATACCCACCCTGTTGTTTACAGGAAGACCCAGGCCACCATATTCTTGCCAGAATGAAACATGACTAGTTTTTGATGCTTATCAAGTTAGAGAGGTAAATAATATTTTATGTCATCCTGCTTTGACTTAATAGAAAAAGAGGTCATAATTTTATCACAGATCTATGGGACAATTGTATAATTTGCTTATTGCTTTGCATAGTTTCTTATGATATCAAGACAGCAGAAGAAATAATTACACATGAATTGTGATATGTGGCCAATATTTTTCCCAACTTAGCTTACTACATCTTCAGTCTGGAACTTAATAATCCTTTTGCTGGTGCATCTCTACCATATCTCCCTTACAGGTTTTATACATCTTCTATTTCTTTTCTCTTCCTAAGAGAATGTTTAATGGTTGTTCCCATTTTACTTAAATTCCTCTAAATTCCAAGTCACTTTTTCATTTCCCCTTATGTGGATGGAATGATAAATCTTGACTGTCAACCTGACAGAATTTAGAGTCGCCTTGGACACATTTCTGGGAGTGTCTGTGAGAAAGTTTCCTAAAAAACTCAACTGTGGACAGAAGACACACCCTGAGTGTGGGCAGCTCCATCCCACGGACTCTGGTCATAGATGAATAGAGAAAAGAGAGCAAATAGAGTGCCAGCCATCTACCCTCTGCCTACTGACTGAGGACACAGCCACCCAACTCCCACCCCCGGGTTTTCCCCTCCATGCCTTCCTTCCTTAGGTTGCTTTTGTCAAGTCTCTTGTCACAGCAGTGACAGACCCTGTGGCTTCCGTGCAGACTTTATTTCCTCACAGGCTTTTCTCCACAGTCAGTCTCCTTGTATTCCTTTGCGTCCCATGACATCATCTCTACGCCTCAAGAGATTCTACACTACAGCATCAAAAATGAATCTTCAGCTACACCAAAGAATGTCACCCACGATACATAAGCAGACTTCCTGAATATTTCCAAGGCTCTCACTATATAGAACAGACAACAGTTCCCCAAAGCTGCCTCTGCCCTAATGCCCCAACCCTTGAGCATCTTATTTTATAAGTCAAAAAAGAACCATGTAGCTATGGT